CATTGTAGCCAGATAATTTTATATGAAACTCATATTATGTTGAAGTCTGTGGACGACACACGGGGATTTATATCTAGCGTCGCCACCCGTGAAACTTCCAGAAACTTTAGGCATGTTTCTAACTTTCCTATCTCTATTTAAATCCCGCGATATAAACTTGAAAATATTCGCATCAATCAAATTGGAACGACGAACGTAAATATTTTTTAATAATATGAGCAGTGTTAGAGGTCCTGTAGAATTGTGCCTCTATTACATTAAAGTCGAAGGTTACGGAAGAATACGAAAAATATTCATTATTCAATAAGAGAAACCCTTGGTTGTAGAGATCAGTCCATTTGTTGCTATTAAAATACGTATATTTGCCCTAAACAATATTATTATTTGAGAGATCCCTTACATCAGAAGTGGGTTTTTTTTTATGTGCGAATTTACCGCCGTGTATTCTTGTACTTTTTTTTGGTAAAATTAGCGCAGTAATTATGCCCGACATAAAAGGAAAATTCATCTGCATCCAGTTCATCTGACACTAACTCCAGGTCCACTTGTTCAACATGCTTGTCTTCGTTGTCTAGTACTAAAAAAATCGCCATTATTCAAAAAAGCGTAAAATCTAAAAACGCTCCAAAATACAGAATGAGACATTTTTTTATTTTATTTTATAAAATTGACAATAATATTATAATATGATCTGATCGAATCCAATATAAATAAAAATGCATTAAGAGCGTTTTAAATCGATTTTTTTTACTGAAATCACATTCCTATAATTATATAAGGCAATCTGGATGCTCAAAGTGTCCATTAATAATGTTGCATGTATGGTAAGTTATAATTTTCAAAATGAGGTGGACAGCTAATCAAAATAAAAGCATTATCGATTTTATTTTATGTACGAAACGTCAAAACCTACATTCCTCTACGTATAATCATTCAACTAAATTGAAAATAAAAAAATATATTTACTTACATTGTAACAAACATTTTTTTATAATGCTTAACGTCATACTAATACACTTTCGAAGTTATGAGTAAATTTATTAAACGACCTTTATATGACTTATAATCAATTCTCTTATTTTACTATATAATTTACAAAAAGAAAATATCGACAGTTGATGTAAATATTAGCTTTATCCTCATTACATCAAATGAAGTAAATTACGGTTAATAATGTATGTTTTGGATACAAACGAAATAAACTATTCACAGAAAATTGTATACAGGGTTGTTCACCACATACGACACGGAGTATTGTAGCTAAACGATGAGATTTTTACAAATTGTAAGTTTGGGGTTCATTGAAGGACTATTAGAGCTGCAATTTAAAAATATTTTTACAAGATACAGAGTGTCCCAAATAAATAAAAATTATCAAAGTTGTATTTTTTTAAATGGAACACCCTGTATATTATTACATTTTTAGTTTCTACGATTAAAATAAAGGTAAATTTGATTAAGATTTATTATACTTAAACCTTACCGTTTTTGAAATATTTTCAATTTTGTGAAATTGCAGTAGGGGTATTAATCAGAAAAGAGTCAAATTATCAAAAATCATTATTATAAAATAGACTTGTCTATTTTTCGTCTATTTTTTTACGAAAAACATTGAGATAATATCGTTTCCCCTCTCACGGATACCCCGTAGCTACAGAACGGACAGATGTACTGTTATACACGCTCAACCTGGGACACCCTGAATATAGGAAGACCTTCTACACTGGAGGCCAAGAAAATTATTAGAGCAAGGTTTACAGCGCTATGTAACTTAATAATATTTTAGTTAAGTAGATATTATTTTACAGTAGAATGAGGTTGGAACTAAATGAAGGATGTTTTAATAGTCTATAAGGGGTTTTCCACAACGTACTTACCCAGTAAACTGAATTATATTAGGTTAGGGTTGTTTTATTTAATTATGGAGGTTGGTGGAAGACTTTAATAGTGTGAATCTAGATATAATTATAATTATGAACATCTTACTTGGCTTACAACTTAAAGTACGTTTCAAGAATCTCGTTAAATCCTTCTTCTAAAACTACCAATAACAGCAGACATCAATATTGATTTCATAAATTATTTATATGTCAATAAGATCATCACGTCATTATCAATATGTAAAGAAAAAAATATTTGGAACTCTCAGAACACTGTGAATGGAATTATACCATTGTAAAATTTGACTGTACATAGACTGATGATATTCTAATAAAAAAGTTTACACAATATTATTTTCTTAATTTCTATTTATCTAAGTCAAATATAATCACTACTGATAATATTACTATTTGGTCAAGACTTTCTTAATTTCACTTTGGTTTGTTTAATTTAATTACCATCGATAAGTAACATTATAACTTTTTGTTTAAACAATCTTTGATCGCACGTAAAAATTGTATACATATTACAGTGTATAAATTGCAAATAAAAAGTGAGATTAAAGTAATTAATTTTGTGTAACTTTGAATAAAAGAGTGTTTATAATTAAATTAACCGCCATTTTAAGGTTACTTTAATGTCTTTTTTATCATAGTTTTATAACCATCATGAATTTATGTAGACTGGCCACATCTAAAGAAAAGACCAGATGCTTTATTGATCTTTTGACGGCAAATGCCCACTTTAACGTACTTTCGGTAAATTGAAACTACGTAACACAAAACTACACACTTTTATGCAAATGCCTAATAATGTTAATGCTAAACACAAATCTAATTTAAAAAAAAATATTAAAAAACATAGGTATCGAGTAAAAATTATTTTTAAAGGTTGTAGTTTAAAATTCGAGAAAACAAATTTTCTGGAGATGAGTGTTACTTTTGTCAAGTTTTATGTCAATTTCACGTCTAGAGATCGACCTCTCCAAAATTATCACCGATTGCCATTTCCCAGTCGACTTTGACGCCGTTCTTTTCGATCATAATATATATTTTAAGCTTTTTTTTAGGTCGTTACGTCTAATTGATCTCTACGTCACTGCACGTACTTTTTACTGCTCTCGCTGGAAAGTGGTAACATATCCTTTAAAACGTAAAGTGTTTTTGTTGGTCAGAAAATTTATCTTCAAGCTAAGAGCAATTGGACAATTTGTCACGGAAAGTTCTCAAACCCTGTAACTTTTTACGGAAAAAGATATTTTGATTTGTTATGTGTTTGCGTTAGAGTAATATTGTCAGGAGATAGCTATTACTGACTACGTTGCATCTTGCATTGTGCTGCATTAGGTATGTTTTATTTTATTTGAAATTTAAATAAAAATAATAACAGATACTCTTAGAATAAAAGCTGAAGTACAAGGTATCTAAATATTCCATAGAACTTTCAATATTCATTAGAATATTCAATATTCCATAGAACATAGAACATTGGACATAGAACTACTACGTATTTTTATGAATCAAAATAAGTTCATCGCACACAACTCCACCGACGCGACGACGATTTTTTTTTGTAAAATGGCTCTTCTAGTATTTACTACATTTTTGTCTTATTAGACGTAGTCTTTAAGAAGTAATAACCATTAAATCTTGGTGCGATTCGAACCTCCTGAGTCTCAACATTTCTAAAACTAAAGCTTTGTCGTATTGCTTTTACTCGCTGCGGCCTTTGGTACTTAACAACACCACCAATGACGTCGTAAAATCTGTAAAATTCTTAGGGCTTGTTGTAAACAATTCTCTAAAATGGGACATGCATATCGACGCTTTGTCGAAAAAATTGAGCTCTGCCTGTTTTGCATTAAGATCTGTTTCTAACGAATTTAACTTGTCCGTGGCTAGAACTGTTTATTATTCACTTTTTGAGTCGCACCTCAGTTATGCCCTTCCATTCTGGGGTACGTATTGTGCGACTCAATTTAACCGCATTTTCAAGCTCCAGAAGAGAGCTGTTCGATAATCACTGGGACTAAATAGCAGAACTCATTACCAGGACTTTTTAAAAAAATTAAAAATATTAACTCTTCCTTCCTTATTTATATTTGAATCTGATTGCCTAATACGTAAGCATGTATCAGCTTCTCAAGTAAGGCCATCTCACACTTACCCACTCAGGAGCGCGGAACAAGATCTTTATCTACCTACCCCACGCTCAGAGTTAGTTAAAAGTTCAATATTATACAACTCGAAAAAAATGCACAACCACCTGCCATTTGAAATCAAATCCATAACATCATTTTCTTCATTTGGCAAAGCATTGAAATCTTATTTACTAGACCAGGCTTTCTACGCCGTAAATGTCTTATATTTTGATAATCGAATTTGATCTTGTAAACACTGGTCTAATGTTTGCTATTACTATATTTACTATAAACTTTTAACCGAACTAATTATTTTTGAATCTTATTTTTCTTTTTTTCTCTTTGACATTGTAAACATTTATAAATGTTTATTTTAAACAATAAGACTGACAATGTAATTTGTATACTTGTTTTGTATTCTCTTTTGTTTGTTTGTTTGTTTACTTTACCTTTGTCTGCAAATTGTAAAATTTGCAGACAATAAAGGCATTTATTTTACAGGTCGTCTGCTCGATCTGTGTCTATGAAAGGAATGCGGGCAAAAAACATTTAAATAAACAGCAATATATTTTATACGTCGACTTGACGAGTACGTCACCGCAAATCGCTCCGCCCACTCATTTTATTGGCTATTGCAAATTTGTCGATTTTTTATTGATAGGACGCGTCGTCTAATTTTTTACGAAAAACATCGAGAGAATATCGTTTCCCCTCTCACGGATACCCCGTAGCCACAGAACAGACAGACGTACTGTATTTAATATTTTATTAACTCAACATAGAGCAAATTCAGCATATTATTGAGTCTTTCTTACAAAATAGTTTAACAGATTTTTAATGAAAATAAGAACACCACTGATAAACGGGAATTTAAGTCAGTCATATTAATGGGTCATTGGCGGTCATGTTAATATTGATGATAAATAACATAATAAAATAATAATAATAGAAGAACCTGACATATAAATTATTGTTTCAGGTATCCATACGTGTTTGGGAGTACATTCTGTTTTCTGAGAGGACTTATGGCTGAAACTTCTGGCAACGCAACGGTTTTAACCATTACTGGATTCACTGTGGAGAGGTACTTAGCCATCTGTCATCCGTTCCTGTCACATACGATGTCAAAATTGTCTAGAGCAGTGAAATTCGTTTTATTCATTTGGGTGGTAAGTAGCTATAGTTCTTAAAAAATATAGTACCATTATAATCTATAGATCATACCAAATAAACTTTTAGTGACGGGATTAAACTTGACCCGCACAGCGTTGCCTGATTTTGCATATTTTCTATTAATCAAAATATTTTAGAAAACAAAAATAAATTACTTATAAATATTGAATAAACATTACAGTTGAGGGTTGGAACCTTTGGTGTTATACAGCAAAATAAAAACACTAAATCACCACAATACACCAAAACACTTTTATTTTACACTGGACGCGCGTTTCGCTAACCATGTTAGCATCATCAGCAGATGATTATAAACTCTAGTTTTGTACTATGTACAATAATAATATTTTAATTTCAAAAGCCTTCTTATCCTCCTTGCAAATCCCCACCTTGCTGTCCACCCTTTTTACCAGCCTTCTTATACCTATATAAACTTTTTCCTTCCTTGTCTTTAAATAACACACTTTTGTCGTCCAAATTCATTTGAAATTGGGTCACGATGAGCTTTCCAAAACACGACATGCGAATGTAAACACTGATTTTCCCTATTACAGTGCTGGCGTTTGATGGATCGCTGATATTGAAAACGTCTTTCAGTGTTTTGGCTGTGGGAGAGCTGCCATCAGATAATTCGACGCTGCTGATCAACTCATTGAATAAATTGGATACGGATATAACAGATGCACCTGAAAACGTTTGTTCAGTTATACCGGGTGCGTCTCAAAAGTGGCTTACCCCTATAACTTTTTTATTTTTTCAGATAAAAAAACGAGATTTGGTATGTTAGTATATGACATAAATTAGGATTGATTGATGTTTTCAATTGTTTTCCGTCACTTCCTGTTTCACCGGAAATGACTACACGGGATCACAACTTTTGATTTTTAAATTGCACCTTCCGTATTTTTTTACTTTATTCGATAAAAAAATGACTTTCTGAATCGAATGACATATCATATGTCAACTTTTGACATATTCACTCAAAAACAAATTGCATTTTAAATTTCAATCTAGAGTGCCATGGTTGTGTTAAAAACACTAATTTTTAATCAAGGAGCCTTGGAAAAATAGATTTGATAGTCTAATGTTTTTAGTGTCTTGTCCTGGCCGGTTAAAAGATGCCCATATCGTATTTTTAATCATATCTCAACTTTTTCAAATGGAACGAGGGTGGCTCATTAACATAAATTTGCGGAAAAAGAATGTTTTTATGACTCTAGTTTATAATCATCTGCTGATGATGCTAACATGGTTTGCGAAACGCGCGTCCAGTGTAAAATAAAAGTGTTTTGGTGTATTGTGGTGATTTAGTGTTTTTATTTTATTGAATAAACAGTTATTATTTATATCAACAAAACCCACCTCCTTCACAGCACTTAAGGTTGCGATGAGTTTTTTACAATAGCTGTTAAGCTGCTTCGGCAATTTTTACTTCGTACTACATTCCAACTTCATTGGCACTTCGCACAACATTCCGAAAGATCTAAAAAGAACTTTTTTTTACTGCAAGATAAGTTAGTAAAAAAAAATAAGCTTAAAGTATCACAACATAATTCACTTAAAGCAAAAACTCTTAATAGGAAGCTGAAATGTCAAAACCTAAGGTCAAAATGTATCAAAATGTCAGGAAATACCGTGCTGGCAACTGTTACTTTTGGGTCGGCATTTATATGTGTGGAAGTAAATCGCATAGGGATCTTATTAAGTCGGAGTGAGAAAAATGCGACCCCGACCGACGCGACTCGCGACGGTGTGCTGTTGCGGCGTTGCCGATACGCCTTTCCCTATCAAGTAAAGTAAAACCACGATCGCAAACCGCTTATTTTTAAAAGACTTTCTTTTAAAGAGATAACTAGATAAAATCATTAGACATGTTTCTGAGCATCTGAAATGGAATTATAAGGATATCGCTCAGGTGTCATTTTTTTTATAACGAGAAAACGTCAGTAATCGCGATAATTTAGAAACTCAACTTTTTAACACATAACAGGCCATAACTCAAGAACCACTTTAGATATTGAAACTTTTTTTATTTTCAAGATCGGATATTTGACAATATGTTTACATAAGAAAAATTGGATAACGTTGTTTTTTCCATTCAAAAATTGTAAACAATCCATCCATTTACTTTTAGAGCATAGCAATTTTCAGCAATCGTGTAATTTTTTTATTGATACAGATTTTCACATACTGTCTACAAAGAAAATTCAGCAGAAATATTAACAAAGTTCTTGAAAAAACTACAATCTATTATTTCTAATAGATTTCGAGATATCGATTTTTGAATTCAGAGTTCTAATAGCGCGACCACTATCAAAGACCCACTCAATTCCACTTATTTTTACCAAAAATGCAAGTGTTTCTAGCTTGCACTTAAAAAAATTCAAGCTATAGGGAAAATTACAACGACTCGTTAATAAATAAACAAATTAAGTATCACGAGACGTAATTAAATCTTGAAGCTGAATGCATGACGTACACCTTTCCCTAGAACTTTAAGTACTGACAGAGGTATTGATTGGGTCGACCGGTCAACTGCGACAAATTTGCTATATCCCCTTCCACGTCTCTTAGCGATGTGCACAGTTTATCGGTTTATTTCCTCTTTATTCAGTACATTACAAACGCACTGTACTCTTCTTTCATACGGAAATCTCGACCCAAGACTAACCTTTGCCAGCCCTTAGTATAAGTAAATGTGGGAACTTGACATTTTTCACAGCAAATTTAAATTCCAGTTAGTGAGTCCGGCGCCGAGTATGTCCATGGTTGTTGCCAACCATTTATGTCCATGGTTGATTAATAATCGCGCAAAATATTTTTTGCTTAAATTTTCAGAACCATTGGATTTGTTTTTTTGTGTTTTATTTTCTCTGAGTTTAATCTACTACCTATGTTGCTATATTATCAATATAGGAGTATTATTTTTCTTAACTGAAAATTTAAAAAAATTCCAAAAAAATTCGAAAATTAAAAGAAACTCTAAAAATATTTTCACTTTTACCCTTATAGCAGTGAATGACTTTTGAAGGCATTTATTTGCTATTTTATTTGACATGGAAGTTCCTTTTATTTTATTTTTATTTTTTATATGAAAAATAAAATATATTTCTTTATTTCTTCCCTTTTCTTGTAGATTTTCCATAGCCGATTCGTTTAAATCAAGACAACTTTTGAACAAAGATGCGTGAAAATGTATAATAAAATATAAATCAAAAAACATCGTAATTTCATCATTTCTCAGAAATATAATAGATTATATTTTTAAAATCGAGAACGAATTTTCCATCTGTAAGGGCGTTAGGCTGATGACGCTACACGCTCTTTTCGAATTTCAACTTTTTTCAGTTTTCAACGCATGCCAACTCACATTATTTACTGTCTGATAACTTTTAGTTGAAAAACTTTTTTCGCGGGTTAAAAAAAGATTAATTTAATAAATATTTGAGTTTACAAAAGAATGCTTTTTAAATAAAACTAAAATTTTGTTTTATATATTTTATTCAAATACATTTTATTATTACCATGTAACAAAAAGCGGTAATGTGTTTTTCATTGTATTTTATTAGTATCATAAAAATATTAAATTTTAAAATTTGTTATAGGGAAAATAAAGTAATATATTTTTACATAACAAAAAATACCGGTATTTATAAAATATAACAATTTATTATTTTTTTTGTTTTTATAGTACTTTTAAAACTAATATATTGAAAATATAAACATAAATAAAAAACTTCTGAAAGTAGTTACACCTCACCATGTTGGAAAATAACATCAAAAAGTAATGATAATAATTTAAAAAATTGCAAATTGTTGGTGGCAATTAAATTAAAAAAGATGATAAAACAGTTTCTGTTGAACTTTTGTCACAAAAACATTTCAAATTTATGATTTTAGTCTAATAGCTATTTAGTTAACATGTTTAATTTATGTCAATGATGACAGGTATTGAAAATTTCGATTCCAAATATCTCGAGAACCATTACTCGTAGAGATTTTTACCAAGTGACTTTTTTTACGTAAAAAACGTCGTTAATGTTTATTTTTTTGGTCATTAGTTTTATATAGGTACGGACGAAAAGTTACTATTCTTCAAATCAGTTAAAACATTTGTAGGTGGCGCCCCCTACCAGTACGAGTCATATTGACTTCAAAACCAAATTTTTACATGTCAAAAAGACACCAATTTTTATCCAAATATTGACGTTATTTCAGAAGTTATTTGGAAACAATCGAAATAAAAAAAATTATTTCAAAAAAGTTTTTTATTTACTTTTATCTGCAGAATATGCTGCCGAAGTTCCCGGAATACAGTTCGAATTACCCCGTATACACTATTATTTCTATTTCAATTTCTTTCTATATTGTCCGTCTTAAAATTTGTTTTATTCTCCTTTTACCTTACATCGCACTGTATTTGTTGCGTCGTATGTTAAATAAATCCGGTCCAAATACAGCATTCGTCAAAGTCCGAAGACTGTCTGGTAAATTTGATGCCATTCCTAATGTAATTGATTCCTGTAACGCTCTGGTAACTGAGGCTTTCAGTTTAACTAAGGAGAGTGATATCTCACAGAATGTCTGATGTGTTTATACATTAATAGGTCTTCTGCTATTAACCTTAAATACCCTATTAGGTGCTGACGTAATAAGGGATCAGCAGAATAATATAATACAAATTTGAAATAAAGACTTTAATTTTGAAATCCTAAAGTTTGTTTAACGGTTAAATTACAAGAATTGATATGAAGTTAATTGTTTTATCATAACTGTAAATGTTATGATACGCATTTTATTTAATTATAATTAAACACTCGCATATCTTCCAAATCAATATTTTAAATAATTTTTGAAAGCGCTTTGAAATTGACAGTTTTTGATATTTAATTGAGATTCGAAATGACATTCTTTTAGACACTAGTATCTAAAAGGACACTTGTTTAGGCACTAGTGCCTAAAAGTAAAAAATGAAACGTTAGAAACAATGAAAATA